GATTTCTAGATTAACCACAATTCCTTGCATGGTGGAATTCAGACATTTCTAAATAGTTGAATCTCATACCAAGGTCCAATCCAGATTGCAAAACATACTTCAATGTACATAGACTTCATTCTACAATAATGCTGTTCAGAGAGGGAAATATGTATTTTCCTTGAGGTATTCAACAAATAAATTAGCATGAAAGTGTCACAGAGCGGCCTATGGCAGCCCCTGTCTGTAAATCATATTGCCTCTCAAACCTAAAGCAATCATTAATGAGGACAAGGGAAAGACCTTGACAATCAGTTGTGAGGGGAAACTCACATCTTCCCTTCTCCTCAGGAAATGTTAAACTACTTGTAAACTCTTGTCAATATGTAGGAATGCACACAGTATAACTGTGACCTGAACTGTAGCTGATAACTGCTGCAGAACCTCTTCCTTTGTTGCTACTTTATTATCCTTCTGCATTGTGGACAGGGTTTAAATAAATATTCATTAATCCAGAAGTGCAGCAGCCATCTCTCAGGAGACTTTCACTTTGCAATGCTCGTCTATAAAGTGTCTTCAATGCAGGACAGTGATTCGCTGATGCAACAAAGCAAGGGGTCTGCAGGCTGCTGGCTGAATGGAAGCCTGCTATAGGTGACCACAATAGGGAAAGACTACAGAGAAGACTCTCATCTGGCAGGACCATGCCTTAGAGAGCAGGAACCTTCTCCTTTAGAGGGTGTCAGATGCAATTTGGATGCCTGGTGTGATCAGACTGAACTACAGATCACGCCAACTAAAGAAAAACAGAGACTATCTCAGCACGGTTTAAAGAGAGACATCAAAGCATAACTCTGTCTGAAGACATGAACTCAATAAGAACACATGTCCAGAGACCCAGGATTGGGTTCCCTTGGTCTGGTAAGAGACTAATATTGCACAAGGTAATCTGTTTTCTGCTGGGAAATGTTGTGCTTTCTTCAGGGGCCCAACTTTGCCTGCCAAGAATTTTTGTGATAAAACGGAGACTGTTATTGCAAATTAGGACTGTCTTTATATACTGTTCCTAGGTAAATGCAGTTCAGTTCTGTTAATTACTGTTAGAATACTGCAGGTGTTTAACTATATCTCTCAGAGTAACGTTCTTGTCCTATTGATTGTATAGTATATGTACACTTGCAGATCTTGTCTTCTTTTAGGCTATGCTTGGCCTAATAAATTCTTTGAAATATCTCAAGGTGTGTCGATAAGTGCTGAGTGAGTAAGGTGTATCATCTTTAGGTATGCAGAGAAATTACAAAACAATTCAGTGGCTCCTCTGGAGGTAGTACTAAATACAGAAAAGTTATTCACATTGAGAAGAGTCCAAATGGAATCAAAGACTGTGATTTTGCTGAGCTTTTGAAAAAGTGGCAGAGGTTGGAACACAGTCTATAAATTGTGCAAGGGGCTGTGTGATCAAATTGGTGCCTTATACTCTAGCCCTGAAAGTGAGAAGAGTGAATCCTTTGGGTACTTTAAGCAGATCATATTTCACAAGAGTATTCAGATGTGTCAGATATCAGAACCCAACAATATCCTCAGAAAATGATTATTAAAGTAGAACTAGGGCAAAATAGATTTTTTGTCTTTGCTAGAGTAAATGAAGGATTATAACCCCTGTAAATTTTTTTTCCATGTGTTCCATTAGGGGGTGTTCCCTACACTTCCTGCCATGTACCCCATACAGTAAGCAAGAGGAATTTTCTCCAAAGTGATGGAATCCCTGGTTGTCCCCGGGTCACAAGAACTAGTGTTTTAATTTCCCATATTTCACTGTTCTAGGAACAACTCAAAATTTAGGACTTTTTTCCCTTTCAAATTTGGTGATAAGGATAAACATGATATATAGAGAGGGTGAATCTCCCTACTGGAGGCACAGGCAGCAATAACACCCTAACAGGTGTTCCAATCCCTCTCCTCTGTGTCCAAAACTAAAATAAAAACGTTTAGCTTTTAGTTATGCTATGGATACAGTACAGTATATGCTATAACATTGTGGAGTATTTAATTATTTATTTCAGGTACTTATATAGCGCCGCCAGTTTACGCAGTGCTTTACATATATATATATATATATATTGTACATTCACATCAGTCCCTAACCCTCAAGGGGCATACAGTCTAAGGTCCCTAACTACATTCATACATACACATACTAGGGCCAATTTAGACAGGAGCTAATTCACCTGCCACCATGTCTTTGGAGTGTGGGAGGAAATCGGAGTACCCGGAGGAAACCCACGCATGCACAGGGAGAACATGCAAACTCCAGGCAGGAGGTGCCAAGGCTGGGATTCGAAGCAACGACCCAAGTACTGCCAGGCGGAAGTGCTAACCATTTATCCACTGTGCTGCCCATTATTATTTTGTGAGTGGCCCTGTTACACTGCGTGTAGACATTTTTCTTAGCAAATCATAAGTCTCTGGTCTCCAGTGGGGGTGGAGATTGGGTGGATCCTGATTCCTCTGTTGCCTGACACAGGCGAGGCAATGGCTGTGTTGCTCCACAAATGTTTCTTTATAGGGAAAGCTCCCATTAATGACATAGAAAAAAGGTCAAGAGTACCCCATGGGACTTTGAGGGCATAAAAGTATAAAACACACAGTAGATTAAAAGACAAATAGACAGTCCTTATTTTAATAACAAGAAATAGCCAAACGGCCAGTAAAACTGAATAAAACAGAGTGTGATACACCAACTAAACAGACCAACATATACTCAACTGGATTATAGATACACCAATGTAGATACATGTCTTGATTGGCAGTGGTGTATTCTTCCCATAAAGCCCAACATGTTTCGGAATGAAGTTCCTTCCTCAGGGGAACATACTGGTATAGTGGTACTACAATACAATAATGTCATATCAATAATGTATACAATAAAAATCAAAATATATATTGCAGATTGTAAACAAATGTAAAACACCTGTAGAACAGTGTATGCAAATGCCTCCATAGATAAGGAAACTTACAATTGTGTGTATCAATAGAGATTGTTTCAATATAAACATCCACAGAAGAAAAGAAAAATAGTGAGACCACAGTCAAGCAGAGGGTCATCAAATTGATGGTATCCACACCTCCAGAGTTCACAGGGCCACTACAAGGATCCCAAGAAGGCACCATCCATAGGAAAGGCCAATCTATATGGAGTACAAAAAACAACTACAGTTTGGCTCACTGGCAAGTGAACATATACGGTATATTATAGGCCGAAGATTGGAAGTTATTAGAAATAATAATGATAACTAGGAGAGCATTGGTGCTTCAGCAAAATAAGTCCAAAAAGATATAACATAAAACTAATACCTGCAGATCGTGTTATAGGCAACATGCCAAATAGGTGTCAGCAAAAAGTATGTATCTGTATCCTGAGTATAACAATGAAAAGACACTGTGATAAAATAGAGAGCATCTTACCTAGTCACATGGATGTGTTTATCGTCATAAAAGTATGTCCGACAGGGAAGTCAAAAAAGTTCCTGACTAAATGGTAGGTATATATGGGTAAAGAGAGGAGGATGATCCTCAGAAATGGCCAATGGTGTCCCTGAAACAGGGAATGCATGACCACCGCACAGGTGCATCACGGTGAAGTTTGCAAGCTGGGAACCCCAGACATGGCAGTGCGTGGTGTCAGACAGGTGCACGATGACTTCACGCATCGCCATGTCATCAGCGCGCGCATCAGAAATCAGTGCACAATGACAGAAAGACCACATCCAGTACCATCAGGCCAAAAAGGAGACCCCTCCACCAAGCCAGCCGACAAAAATAGTCCCCCTGGGCCGAATGGCAACCAGAAGGGACCTGTGCGCGTCAGACAGTGGACCACAGACAAGGAGGGGGAGAAAAAGAAAAAAATCATACGATGTACAAAAATATATAAGGGTAGACATACGCAGATTACAAAAAATAGAATAGCAATAAAGGAATAGGAGGCATGTACATACATATGAGAAGAGTGGGACATGTGAATTTGAAATATTGCATTAGAACAAACACCGATCTTTGGTTCATATACAGAGATATATGGACATTCACAAAAATAACAATAAAAATAATAACATCTACCCCATGGTAAATACATATAGATAACATAGATAGCATTGTCAGACATCATATTCATATTAGATATTGCATATTCAATTCACATCTCCCTGATCTAAAGCCTTCAAGAAATGGTTTTAGGTTAAAGGCCTCATTGAGGCTGAGGGGTTCAGTGGCGTTAAGAGTAAAGATCCACCACAGCTCACGTTGGAGGAGGATTTGTAAAAATCACCCCCTCTGGATCTGAAGTGAATCCTATCCAACGCCAAAAACTGTATATATTGGGGGTAGATGTGCCATGAACCAAAGTGGCATGATGCCCTAATGGAAAATCAGGGTATTTTTACATATGGTAGCTATATGTCGATACATGCGTTTCCAAAACTCTAGTTTAGTCTTCCCCACATAAAAACAACCACATTCACAGGTAAGGAGGTAAACAACCCCCAACGTTTTGCAGTTGGCATAGTGTCAATTGTCCCATTGTGGAGCCTGAAGCGGGGTCTGATGTCTATGAAAGAACAATAGGCACAAGACCCGCACTGGAACATCCCCAGTCTTTTGCATGGATCACCTCCAGTTTCTCCCAGATATTCACTACGAACGAGTTTATCCCCCGTAAAGGGAACAATTCTATACATGGTAGCAGGTTCATCAAGTACAAACATACGCACTGATTGATCCATGGTGAGTAAACACCAATACTTCTTTAGGATCTGCCTAATTTGGTTATGTTGGGCAGAATATTTAGCGATAATCCTGGTGGTAGAGTCCTGTTTGTTAGTTCTCTTAGAGAACAATAATTCCTCTCGAGATGCAGAACAGGCCCATCTATAAGCTTTCTTTAACCACCCCCCGCCCGCCATATAGTAATATGGCGGGTGCAAGGTGGTTCTCTCGTTCTGGGAGGATGTCATATGACGTCCTCCCAGTCTCAGTGCGCATGTGCGGCTCAGGGAGCACGCAGAGCGGCGATTGGCGATGCGCTGTGTCCCTTGGACACAGCTGATCACCGATCACGGAAAGAGCCGAAGATGTCGGCTCGGTCATGTGATCAGCTGTGTCCAATCACAGCTGATCACATGTAAACAGGGAAATGCCGGCATTTCTCTCCTCTCGAGCAGTCACGCTGACAGCTCGTGAGGAGAGGAGAGCCGGTAATCGGCTTTCCGCAGAGGGGACAAGTACACTGTTCATCAGGGCACTGATGATCAGTGTGCTCTGATGATCAGTGTAGCCCAAGCAGTGCCACCTGTCAGTGTCCATCAGTGCCTTGTGTCAGTGCTCATCAGTGCCTCGTGCCAGTGCCCATCAGTGCCACATCAATGCCACATATCAGTGCCTACCAGTGCACATCAATGCCACATATCAGTGCCCATCTGAGCAACTTTCAATGTTACCCATCAGTGCCAGTCAGTGCCACCTATCAATGCCAATCAGTGCCTCCTCATCAGTGCCACCTATCAGTGTCCATCAGTGCAGCCTATCAGTGCCCATTAGTGCAGCCTCATTAGCGCACATCAGTGAAGGAGAAAAATCACTTATTTACAAAATTTTATAACAAAAACTAAGAAAAAACATTTTCTTTTCAAAATTTTCAGTGGTTTTTGGTGTTTTTTAAGAAAAAATTAAAATCCCAGAGGTGATTAAATACCACCAAAAGAAAGCTCTATCTGTCTCAAAAAAATGATAAAAATTTCATATGGGTACAGTGTTGCATGACCGCGCAATTGTCATTCAAAGTGTGACAGTGCTGAAAGCTGGAAATTGGCCTGGGCAGGAAGGGGGTATAAGTGCCCTGTAGGCTAGTGGTTAAATACATTTTTGTATAGCCCCGTTAAGGAGGCGTGATCGGAGACAATCAGCCTCCTTATGATACAGCCTGTAATGATACATCACCCGAGCCATTTCGTCTCATTCGCAAATATTGACTGTATGGTATAGACATGATGAGGGGTTTTAGATGAAAACTAGTAGCGGATAGGATAGAATCCCCTGCAGTGGGTTTTAAAAACGTTTGCTAGTCAATGCGCCATCAATACCCTTGCAGATATAGAAAAGAGACATCAGAAAGGCTGTGTGTCATAGTAAAATGTAAATTGTATTCATTGTTATTTATGAAAGCTAGACACTGATGTAACAAATCAATTGGTCCATTCCACAAGATGAGAATGAGTATTACGTTTGTGGATTCACTTACAGTATTCACTTATGTGCCCTGGAGTGGAGATGCAAGTGAGGAGATATATTAAGGAGGAGCCATCTAAGTGCACCTGGAGGAGGAGCTTTATCTGAGAGGATATACCATTAAGGTGATAACTGCTTTGTGGCCCGGAGTGGGTCAGCGTGAGGAGGTGAGCAGGCATTGCTGCCAGTTGGAGGATTCACTTTTCACACTAGATTGGAGAACACGTTTGTTTGAAACACAGAATCACATGCATGGACTTTTTTCACTAAATTATGCATTGTTTATCTGTTTATGGCACCAATGAATGTTAATTAGTTTATTTATACATTGGGGAGGAAGTCACTGGTATGTTTTTCCACTTGATATCCTATTTTTTGTGGATCTTAATTTTGAGTTCAGTTATATTATCATCAGTTTGTTCACTGTGTGTCAGTTCACGATTCATTATTATATATTGGGATTTCACTAATTTAATCTCCCATGTAGGGAGGTGTTATTAATATGGATTGTGTGTGATGTCACTGAGCACTTTTATATGATTCGGCATAGATTTATTTATTTATTATTTATTTTTATTTATGATATTTGATCAATTTAGCGCTTCACTAATTTTTAAAATATATGAGATAGACTCATTACATGCAAAGCAAGATAGTTCAAGCCGTGGTTTGTCATAATTGTGATGATTATGGCTTACAGTTCATGAAAACCCCAAATCCACAATCTCAGAAAATGAGAATATTGTGAAAAGGTGCAATATTCTAGGCTCAAAGTGTCCCACTCAAATCAGCTAATTAAGCCACAACACCTGCAAAGTGTTTCTGAGCCTTTAAATGGTCTCTCAGTCTGGTTCAGTAGGAATCACAATCATGGGAAAGACTGCTGACCTGACAGTTGTGCAGAAAACCATCATTGACACCCTCCATAAGGAGGGAAAGCCTCAAAAGGTATTTGCAAAAGAAGTTGGATGTTCCCAAAGTGCTGTATCAAAGCACATTAATAGAAAGTTATGTGGAAGGGAAAAGTGTGGAAGAAAAAAGGTGCACAAGCAGCAGGGATGACCGCATCCTGGAGAGGATTGTCAGGAAAAGGCCATTCAAAAGTGTTGGGGGCTTTCACAAGGAGTGGACTGAGGCTGGAGTCAGTGCATCAAGAGCCACCACACACAGACGGATCCTGGACATGGGCTTCAAATGTCGTATTCCTCTTGTCAAGCCACTCCTGAACAACAAACAACGTCAGAAGCGTCTTACCTGGGCTAAAGAAAAACAGACCTGGTCTGTTGCTGAGTGTTCAAAAATCCTCTTTTTTGATGAGGGCAACTTTTGCATTTCATTTGGAAACCAAGGACCCAGAGTATGGAGGAAGAATGGAGAGGCACACACTGCAAGATGCTTGAAGTCCAGTGTGAAGTTTCCACAGTCTGTGTTGATTTGGGGAGCCATGTCATCTGCTGGTGTTGGTCCACTGTGCTTCATTAAGTCCAGGATCAACGCAGCCATCTACCAGAAGATTTTGGAGCACTTCATGCTTCCTTCCACAGACAAGCTTTATGGGGATGCTGACTTCATTTTCCAGCAGGACTTGGCACCTGCCCACACTGCCAAAAGCACCAAAATCTGGTTCAATGAGGTTGGGATTACTGTGCTTGATTGGTCTGCAAACTCGCCTGACCTGAACCCCATAGAGAATCTATGGGGCATTGCCAAGAGAAAGATGAAAGACATGAGACTGAACAGTGCAGAAGAGCTGAAGGCCGCTATTGAAGCATCCTGGTCTTCCATAACACCTCAGCAGTGCCACAGGCTGATAGCTTCCATGCCACACCGCATTGAGGCAGTAATTGCGGCAAAAGGGGCCCAAACTAAGTACTGAGTACATATGCATGCTTATACTTTTCAGAGGTCCAATATTGTTCTATGTACAATCCTTGTTTTATTCATTGCATGTAATATTCTCATTTTCTGAGATTGCGGATTTGGGGTTTTCATGAGCTGTAAGCCATAATCATCACAATTATTACAAATCACAGCTTGAACTATCTTGCTTTGCATGTAATGAGTCTATCTCATATATTAGTTTCACCTTTTAAGTTGCATTACTGAAATAAATGAACTTTTGCACAATTTTCTAATTTTTCTAGTTTCACCTGTGTATATACAGTGGGGATCGAAAGTTTGGGCACCCCAGCTAAAAATTTGTATTAATGTGCATAAAGAAGCCAAGGAAAGATGGAAAAATCTCCAAAAGGCATCAAATTAAGATTGACATTCTTATAATATGTCAACAAAAGTTAGATTTTATTTCCATCATTTACACTTTCAAAATAACAGAAAACAAAAAAATAGCGTCTGCCAAAGTTTGGGCACCCTGCAGAGTTAATATCTTGTACTTACCCCTTTGGCAAGTATCACAGCTTGTAAACGCTTTTTGTAGCCAGCCAAGAGTCTTTCAATCCTTGTTTGAGGTATCTTTGCCCATTCTTCCTTACAAAAGTCTTCCAGTTCTTTGAGATTTCTGGGCTGTCTGTCACACTGCTCTTTTAAGGTCTGTCTATAGATTTTCAATTATGTTGAGGTCAGGAGATTGTGAAGGCCATGGCAAAACCTTCAGTTTACACCTCTTGATGTAATCCCGAGTGTGTGTTAAGGATCATTATCCATTTGTAGAAGCCATCCTCTCTTTAACTTCAGCTTTTTCACAGATGGCATCAAGTTACCATCCAAAATTTGCCGAAATTTTATTGAGTCCATTTTTCCTTCTACTCGTGAGATGTTCCCTGTGCCACTGGCTGCAACACAACCCCAAAGCATGATTGATCCAACCCCATGCTTAACAGTTGGACAGAGGTTTTTTCATTAAATTCTGTGCCCCTTCTTCTCCAAACGTACCTTTGCTCATTCCAGCCAAAAAGTTCAATTTTAACCTCATCGGTCCACAGAACTTGTTTCCAAAATGCATCAGGCTTGTCTATATGTTCATTTGCAAAGTTCAAACGATGATTTTTTGTGGTGAGGATGTAGAAGAGGTTTTCTTCTGGTGACTCTTCTATGAAGACCATATTTGTACAAGTATCTCTTTATAGTGGAATAGTGTACCACAACTCCAGTGTCTGCCAGATCTTTCTGGAGGGATCGTGCAGTCAAACGTGGGTTTTGAATTGTTTTTCTCACAATCCTGCGAGCTGTTCTGTCTGATATTTTTCTTGGTCTTCCAGATCTTGCTTTAACCTCCACTGTTCCTGATGACTGCCATTTCTTAATTACATTCCGAACAGAGGATATTGACATCTGAAAACGCTTTGCTATCTTCTTATAGCCTTCTCCAGCTTTGTGAGCGTCAACTATTTTCAGTTTCAGTTTTCTAGACAACTGCTTAGAAGAACCCATGGTGCTGATTGTTGGGGCAAGGTCAGATGAGTCTGGGCATTTAAAACCTTTGAGATTGACATCACCTGGTCTTCCCAGACGATGATTGAGAACAATCCATGACACTGTCAGGTCTCAGCTTGGCAAAGGGGGCAGTGCATGCTATAAATTCTGCAGGGTGCCCAAACTTTTGCAGACGCCATTTTTTTGTTTTCTGTTATTTTGAAAGTGTAAATGATGGAAATAAAATCTAACTTTTGTTGACATATTATAAGAATGTCTAATCTGTAATCTGATGCCTTTTGGAGATTTTTCCACCTTTCCTTGGCTTCTTTATGCACATTAATACAAATTTTTAGCTGGGGTGCCCAAACTTTCGATCCCCACTGTATATATTATATTCATATGTGCAACATTTTGGATTATTGTATTCTTGCACTGGTACTGCTTTTAAATGTTCTTTCAGTCTAGGATAAGTGTTACAGTATATTTATACAGGATTCTAACATTATTGTTTAAAATGTTTGTATAATCTGTAATGTATTTTTTATATCCTTAGTATATATTGTAATGCTTCTGCAACATAGCTATTTCTTACGTTTATTCAAATTCATTTAGTTAATACTAATTTCTGTGACTTCAAATGTTGCTTAATTTACAGTTTTCTTTCACAAACAATGTTGAGATTTATGTGCTGAGTGTGGAGTGTGGTTCCAAGCTGGGTTAAGAGCTACCGAGGTAGATTTGAGGTCTAAACTTACATAGAACAAATGCAAAGGTAGAAAATCAAACTGAGCATTCTTTCCACAAAGACATGACTGGTTCACTTCTACCTGAGATTGACTAAAATAACCACACTGACAACAAAGATACTTTTAACTGCATTGATACTTTATTATTTAAGTATCGACCACAGCTTGATATCTATGAATAATGAACAATCAACCAATAAAACATACTGTATGAAGAC